TATTTTGGGTCTCTATCAGTTTCCTCAGGCTTCCATCTTCCTTAGGGCAATGTATCAGGGTGGATCTTACTCACACATGCAATGGGGTCAATACCATAGGAGGAGACTCTGAAATCACGAATCTTGGAAATTAGGGTGTTTGGTATATTTGCTTCTCTTCAAATGACTGGGGTAAAGGATGAGCCAGTGTTTTATAAACATAAACAAATCTAGTTTATGGAAGGAGATATAATAAAGGGCACTGTGTGTATTATTTGTGGATAGCAGATAAATATCTTCTGGGAACATAGCCCTAAATCTCCCTTGAGTCTCTGTCCTTGACTTCCATGGCTTGTCAATCATTTGGACGTCATTAATCCAGATGCTAAAATTCCTTCCTGTGAAAACAATGATAATGATATATAAAAGCATGGCACTGAAGAATAACATTCTGTTAGACTCCTATGTTTATTTAATTTAGAAAGACATCAGAGGTTGTGTACTAGGGATGAAATCTATGGCTCTTTCATCAGGTGACTTCAGTAGTTGTGAGCAGAAGCTCATATTTGGGTAACTGTACTGTAGCCATATTTGTTGTTGTTGGAGAGGATGGTCCTGAAAAGATCAATTTATGCTCATTTTCTCTGAGAAGTTGTGTTAAGCTTTGGACTGTGACACACATATGATAAAGACCCAGCTCTCTCACCAGGTGATACTTGCTAGCTCAGTTACAAAGTTAAAGGATACATTTCATTCTCTATCTTGTGTTTATGAGACAATGAAAATAGTTTCCCACTATTTTCAGTTGGAATCACTCAATTATATGTGACTAATTTCATTGGACAGCACAAAGCAGTTAGAAACCTAAGGTTATTTTCTTTCTTGCTAGTACCTACCAGACTGCCTATCATACTGTAGTCACTCGGCAACTATGTTGAATACTGACTAAATAACCAGAGCTATATAAAAGCAATCACTGTCCTCAGGAAACCACCAAAGAGTTCACAATCTAGTGGGGGAATTGGCATTCTGTAGAACACACATGTGCTGGAATTTCCAACAGTAGAAAATCATATGACATCCACCCAGCCCACACACTAGAATGTGAAATGTCAGTAAATCACAATCTGTCATTCTTGACTAATGAATCTGTCTATAAAATTTATCTATCTAAATTTTATTATAATTACTTCATATAAAATGGAATACAATTTAAGTTCTCTTGAAAAAAGAGAAACATGAAAGATTACTTTATAGTCTGTATATAAGTTCTCAGTTTTTACACAAATAGATCTTATCTAATGAATATGAAACATTTTCAGAAGAATTCTCATTCTCCAAAGATACTTCAAAATTCTCGTAGCTCCCTCATCTTCATCGCATAAAGTCTCCTCTGTTAAAATGTCCTGAAAGGTGACACTTGAGGTGAAAAACACAGCTTTATTCATTACAACCTATACCTAAATCATTCAAACTGATTTTAGAAAACTACATTCCAGTTTTACATTCATTTAAACATTGATTTAGTTTAAATCTTTAGGCTATTTTTATAGCACAAATGGGAGCTCCTTTTGGAGGATATGAGGAGGAATAAGTATTTTTTACAAAGGTCAGTGTAGAAATTTAAATTTCTATGGAATATATGTAAGTAATTCTTATTCTTAGGCAATATTTGGTTGTAAATAGTGTCTATATGTATAGAATATGAATTTGCAATGTAAGAAATTAAAACTCATAAGGAAGTAAGCCACCAGGAGTGAGATTGAGTTACCTCTCCTGAGTAGGATTAGATTCACAAAGACCATAGATACATAAATTATCAGGTAAAGGATAGAAATAACTGAGATCAATGTACATAAAAAATAAAAAAAATATGTATAGCCAGGCTCCAGTGGCACACACTTTAGTCCTAGCACTTGGGAGGCAGAGGCAGAGGAAGGCAGATCTCTGTGAGTTCGAGGCCAGTGTGGTCTACAGAGTAAGTTCCAGGATAGCCAGGAATACATGGAGAAACTCTGTCTTGGGGGAAAAAAAAGCTCATATGAATGAGCTAGAGACTATCAATGTAACTGAGAATATCTGATGAAGAACCAAAGAAATCTGTAGGAGTTCAGGATATTACTGAAAATAGAGTTAACACACTAGAAATCATGTCATAGAAAATAGATAAAGTGGAGCACAGAGGCAGAGAAGAAATGTAACACACGGGACTCTGGATAACATATGGTTTGTTTTAGTAGAAGCAAGATGCAGACTTTTTCTAGCTAAGAAACTAGCTAGAGAACGAGGGAACGAGGGAAAGCACATTAGAAGAGGCAATGACCACTGCTTCATGCATATCCTATTTCATGTCTGGAGCAGGGAAAACAAAATGAAGATGAAATGGTGCAAGCAAGAAGCCTGAGAGACCACAGCTCTACGGGAGCTGGCTTGGCTCTGATCTGCCAATTTTGCTGTTGTGAACATAGAAAAGAATAGTGACTATTGCAAAGGGTGATGTTTCCCTAATTTCTTTCTCAGCCCATTTATCATCTGTATATAGTAGGGCTACTGATTTTTTTGAGTTAATCTTGTATTCCGCCACTTTGGTGAATGTGTTTATCAGCTGTAGGAGTTCCCTGGTAGAGTTTTTCATATCACTTATGTAAACTATCATATCATCTCCAAATGATGAAAGTTTCACTTCTTCCTTTTCAATTTGTATCCCCTTGATCTCCTTTTGTTGTTAATTTAGTTTGATGTTGGCTGTTGGTTTGCTGTATATTGCTTTTATTATGTTTAGGTATGTTCCTGTTATTCCTGATCTCTCCAAGACCTTTATCATGAAGGGGTGTTGGATTTTGTCAAAGGCTTTTTCAGCATCTAGTGAGATGATCAAGCTTGTTTTACATGTCACTCCCAGTTACGTCTCCCTCCCCTCCTCCCCTGCCCCCTATCAACCCCCTATCCTAACCCCTTTCTGTTCCCCAGGGAGGGTGAGGCCTTCCATGGGGGGAATCTTCAAAGTCTGTCATATAATTTGGAGCAGGGCCTAGACCCTTCCCTGTGTGTCTAGGCTGAGAGAGTAACCCTCTATGTGTAGAGGGCTCCCAAAGTCCATTCGTGTACTAGGGATAAATACTGATCGACTACCCCATAGATTAACCAGACCTCCAAACTGACATCCTCATTTAGGGGGTCTGGGTCAGTCCCATGCTGGTTCCCAGCAATCAGTCTGGTGTCCATGAGCTCCCCCTTGCTTAGATTAGCTGTTCCTGTGGGTTTCTCCAGCCTGGTCTTGACCCCCTTTGCAACATGTAAAAAGAAATTAGAATGAAGGACATTGACTGGATAGGGGACTGACTTCAGGTAACAATACTTGATTCCATTTACCTCTGAGGGAGGCAGTTTTATTGTCCTTTCTCATGTCCTATGTACCTTCAACCTGATTTTATATTCCCAAATGGTCCTCAGTACTCCTCCATTTTCATTTCTAGCCTCCTTTTTTTGCAACCATTTCAATCAGATGATCCATTATTCATGTTATAAAACTGGAAGCATAAAGTTTTATAACATTGCTTTAAAGGAAAGATTTTACATAAAGAGATGTTTACAAACTCAGAGTGTTATGGCCTGGATGAAGTGGCAGGGAAGCCCATTGCCCATCTTAAGGCAGAGCTAATCACAAACCCTTGCAAAACTGCAGGTTTTCAATGCCATCAGCCTCTTGTGTAATCTTCACTGAAATTTATGGATAAAACTGCTTGTATTTTGTAGTTTGAAAGCAGTTTTACTTACATGATTGAGTAGCTACACAAATGTAATACACATAAAGAGAGCTTAGATCAGTCCTTTGCAGACTCTTCGGGTTCTCAGTTCATTCTCTGTGAGCCCCTATAAGCCCAGGTTCTGTGTGTTTTATTGTGCCCTTTACCTCGTTAGTTGTCTCTAACTTTTTGTTTTACAGGCCTTTGGGACTCTACTTCTCATCCTGGATCATCTTACCCAGTCTTAATACATGGGGATGTGCTTAGTCTTACTACAACTTGATATACCATGTTTTGTTGATACTCATGGGAGGACTTCTCTTTCCTGAACAGAAACTAGCAGGGGTGGATTGGTGGTGGGAACAGAGGGGAATGTGGGGAGAGGGACTGGGAGGGAAAAAGGGAGGGGAAACTGCTTCCAGGTTGTAAAATAAATAAATAAATAAATAAATAAATAAATAAATAAATAAATAAGATACTTCAGTGGACTTTCACTTTAGAACTTACAGAGCTTATGCTCCACAGTTCTCACAACACTTTGCAAAAAAAAAAAAAAATAATCACTATTCTGAGACTCACAAGAGGTAATTCCTAGGTAATTCTAAGCACTCAGTATTCCTGGAACATTGTGTTTTCAGTTTCTGATCAAACTTGCTACTCTGTGTCACACTAAACTGCATAGTTCAGTCCAGTGTGCTCCATTCTGTGTTGACACTAAGACTCTAGCTAGGTGTAACTTCTCTAAAGAGCAGGCTTTCTGTTTGTGCACTGCACGCCTCTGTAACTTTTTATGTATCTGCCAGGGAAATAAAAAGTGCTGCACAAACCTGACTCAGTTATCTTTAGTCTCATTCTAGTAAATGAGGAGATTTTGTTTTCACTAGTATGTGCTAACTTATTTTAAAGCAGCAGAGTCCCATATAAACTAATATTTATGATAAGATAATAATGGTGGCATGCACAGAAGTCCTTTGCATTTACATGAATGTACTATGTTGTTGCAGGCATTTTCCTGAGATGTCCTTTTTGATATATACTTTTCATTTATGGTTTACTTTTTAGCCCCAAATTTTAGTAATTATAAAAGATCAGAGTCAGATGGGTATAAAGAAAAACTACTCAAATGTGATTTGTGAGTAACTTTGTGTTGGTAATTTTAAAAGAATATAGTATCAGTTATTTAAAACCCCTGTAATTTGCAATTAAATTTTAAAGTACATTTAGAACTTGGAAATCACAGTACTGTACAATCAAAGCATTTTTTGTTAATTTCAGAAAAAGTTAACCTGGGTAAAATAATGACTGATATTGAATCTGTGAGTAAGAAAATGGAGAAAGAAAAGCAACTGCACCTCAAGAAATCCGGGTAATGTGGAATTATTTGACCTAGAAAACAAGGGGGAGGGGGAGAGATTTTTCTTCTTTGCCAGTATTCTCTCACCAACTGCAGTGGTTTCTCAAGCCCATTAACACCCCATGCATAAGGCTAATTTGTCTTTCTACTCTAGTCCCAACGCATATCAGTTATCAAAATTTTAGTTTTCAGTTCAATTAACTTTTGAACTGGAGGATGTCTGAGTAGCTAAGCAAACCATCTGGGTTTTACAGTGCATAAGCTCAAATCCAATTTGTGTCTTTCTTGAGAAAAATGCCATATTTTATGATAATATTACATAAGTTTGGAATTTTAATAACTCCTTTGCAGCAATTATGGAGCAGAATAAGTTATAATTTTCCATTTAAAATCTAATAATTAAAGGTTAGTCTTTCTCTAACAGAAGGTGAGGATGATTCCACAGAACATGGTTGGAATGTGAGGATTTGGAACATTGCTTCTGCTCTCCAAAGCATCTGGAGATGGGTCAGCTACTCTTCTGGATTAGTCTACATCTTCCAGATGACTTTACAAGGGTGTGCATGAGGGTTGGCCCTAAGACTTCAGAGAAAACCTCCAATAGTCCCCAAGCACATATTTTTTTTATTAGTTCAAATTAGGAACAAGCTTGTTTCACATGTCAATTCCTTCTCCCTCTCCCTCCCCTCACCCTCATCCCTCCTACCCCACACTGACCTACTCCCCACCACATCCACCCTCCACTCCCCAGGCAGGGTAGGGCCCTCAGTCCACTACATCATCCTGGGCTGGGCCTAGGCCCTTCCTCCTGTGTCCAGGGCAAGAGTGCATCCCTTCACATGGGATAGGCTCTCAAAGTCCCTTCTTACACCAGGGAAAAATACTAATCCACTACTGGGGGCTCCCTAGAGTGCAGAGGCCTCCTCATTGACATCCATGTTCAGGGGTCTGGATTAGTCCTGTACTGGCCTCCCAGATAGCATCTGGGGTCGATGTGTTCCCCTTTTTTCAGGCCAGCTGTTTCTGTGGGTTTCTCTGACCTGGTACCAATCCCTTCAATCTTCATTCTTCCCTCTCTGCAACTAAGTTCCAGAGTTCAGTTCAGTGTGTATCTGTGGATGTCTGCCTCTGCTTCCATCAGCCACTGGATGAGGGCTCTAGGATGGCATAAAACATAGTCATCAATCTCATTTTAGGGGAAGGGCATTTAGGTTATTCTCTTCATCATTGCCTGGATTGTCAGTTCATGTCATCCTTGTAGATCTCTGGAAGTCTCCCTACTGCCAGATCTCTCCTCGGACCTATAATGGCTCCCTCTAATGTGGTATCTCTGGTATCTCTCATCCTGCTCTCTCTCCTCTATTCTTCCCCCAACTCAATATTTCTGCTCCTCCATTTCCTCCTCTCCTCTCCTCTTCTCCTGCTCTCATTCTGGCAGCTCCCTCTCCCTCACCCTCATGCTCCCAATTACCAAGCACATATTTTTGAGAGCTTTTAGAATATAGATACTCCTCTGTTAAAACAACTTTTGATGTCTTATTTTATAGGAGTTCATTGACACAACATGTTAAGAAAAAATTCAGTAATTGACACAATGTACAAGTAATAGAAATTGGAGGAGATACTATTTTGCTTTAAAGAATATCTTGGCTTCCAAAATCTGTGTCACAAATTGTGCTTAGCACTAGAAGATCCTTGGCCAGTGTAACAATTTTATTTGTTTAAATTTATTGTAAGTCTCAGATTTGAACAAGTGGAAAGTGTGCACAGCTTCAGGGCAAGATGTTTGGTTTTATTCATGATAGGGGAAGAAATTATTATATTGAAACATTAACTAAATTTTCCCCCTTACTATCTTTACCCAATTTAACTTAACACCCAGGCTAGCTTAACTAGGGTCATGGCTGTGGAAAGAGTACTTATAAAGCAGTTAAACAGTTTAGATTATCCATTGAGCTTTTAATAACTAGAAAAGATAACTGAATTCACTGAACAATACTTCTTTATTTATATGAAGCCTGTAATCCAAAGAACACTAACATCAATTTAGGGACATGTAAGGTACTCCTTAATGATAAGTCTGGGCAGCAATAATATCTTTCATTATGTTGTTTTTCTCAGTAGGGTTAACTGTTTCTCAGGGAATTGTTCCTTCTACAATTGGTGGAAGATAAAGGTCTCCTAACACCTTTAGTTCCCCTTTTTAATGAAAATAGGTCCCATTTAATGAGGAAGATCAACCCTATTTGAAATTAAGAGCAGGTATATGTACTCCAATGACAGCCTAGGGCACATAAAGCCTGTACTTGAATCCACTCGGGCTGCCTTGTCTTTATTTATAGCTAGTTTATGTTGGTAACTTGTTCCTACCTTAGCAGTTAGCTTCATTTCATTAATGCTGGAGTGTAATGAGGATGCAGAGGGAAAGACAAATAAGCATTTGGGGATATGGTGGTTTAGGTTCTTTGAAAATCTGTGTTTTAGTAGAGTAAAAAAAAAAAGGCACCAGATAGTTTTGTTTTGTTTTTAATTGAAATATGGTTTTCCATATAATACAGAGGAGAGGCTGTAGGCAGGAGAAGGAAGAGAACAGAATCAGCTAGAGAGTCAGCTAGAGGATTGCCACCAAGCTTTCAGACTAGAGCCTGGCAGGGTTTCTGTCCAGGAGGCTTATGGGTGAGCTTTTATCTGTCCTATATTTTCTTTCAAGGTGCCTTTGGAATCACGTATGGTTGAGGTGACACACAACATTTTTAGGTACATTATAAAAATATTGATTGAAAAAAGAAAATAAGTTGGCTAAAAGTAAGAAATATGAAACAATTTCCTAAATGTATGGTGTTTATCATTGTCCACATTTTCCTATTTTTGGCATGCAAAGATCAAAATAAAATGGAATGCTTTCATGTTTTCACATCTTCAAATTTTAAATTAAAGGTTATCAGGCATAGGAATCCTTGTCTTAGGACAATAAAGGTGAATGTGGATACCTTCTAAATGTTACTTTCCAATCCCCCAAAATTCACTTATCTGCCTATTTATTAGTGCTGGTTTTTGTTGTTGCTAGTAAGATTCAGTGCATTTGAAAGAATGACAGCTGCATTTCTGTCAACATACTCCTGTAGTTCAGGCAAGTGAGCATGGTCTTAGTCCTCGAGTTTTGTCATCACTATACTCCTTATGTTGTACTTGAAAACCTATGTTTAGGTCTTCTGATCACCCCTTTAACAGAACAAAGATTTCTTTATCTCACCTCAAGAGTGCTAGGATATTGGCATGCATTCCACTGCATTGAAACATCCCAGAATGTTTACTTAATGGTTTTCAAATGCTTTTCTAAAAGGGATTAATTGTCAATTTTTGTTACAATTTTTCATTAGTAGGAGATTGTTGAAAAAATATTTGTCCTAATTTGAAGATTAAGTAATACTTATCCATGGTCCAAATACAAGAAAGTAAAGCAAACTATTCTATAAGTGCATTTTGCTTCAACTTTAGCAGGATATAGATGAATCCTAGAATTTCAAGTGGAATTAACCAATCCTTGACAAAATCCATGGATATGTCTAATGCACAACTGAGATATAAAATGGGTTTAACTTATAACTTATTTTCTCTTTATTGAGTTCCTATCTAATATCAAGCTATGATTAGAATGGTCATAGCCTTTTCCCCATCCATGCTAATATTTTCCTTAGGAAAACATATTAAGTAATAAAACCCACGTAACACTTATATAACACCTAGATAGCATTGCCATCTCTAGGCACTTACACCAAGCATGTGATTAAACAACAGCACAAATGAGAAGGCTCAAAGGTTTGAGAACTTCTATAAAAACAGCAAAAATATCTGAGTACCTCAAATACCCATTAGAAGACTGATAAAATATTAGTATATTTAATCTATACAATACACTGTTAAATGACTGTCCAATATAACAACTTCCATATATGTTAATGAAGATGTCCATAATATAAAATTAAGTGAAAAACTATTTAGAAAGTTTATTTGTACATATACACACAAACATTGAAAAGGTATGGAATATACTATACAGCTAATCATGTCAAATGAGGTTAGAATAAAATAGTGTAATATAATTACTGAAGCTCCATTGCCTGACATCAAATCACTGCTCCACCTATGTTTTGTTGGGACAATCTAACTTACATAACCCCTATGCATCTTAGTTATATCATGCATAAAATGAGTACATTAATAGTAGATGCAGTAGCAGTTACTGCTGGGAGGGTTAAGTCGGGTAAGACATGCAGAAGGCTTTGAATTTAGACTAGGAGAAAGTCTAGGCTTGCAAAAATTAGCAAACAATCAGAATGATGGGATTAGAGAACATTTTTCTTTTCATTTGGTTATTTATATTTCCTAAACTGCTTATATGGCCCTTGACTCTAGATCCAACAGATGAGCTTGAATCTCTATAAGTGATATTAGCAAAATGATATTTTTTAAAATCCCTTATGAAACAATGGGAAATAAATACAATGTTTACTTTCCTGATTTTTGTTAGGTGGGGTTTGCTCAGAAAGCAAAGTCCTCCTTTTTTGTCCACATTTAAGAACCAGCAAATTTAGTATCATTCTTTCAATAGTAGTTACTCTGCAGTACCCCCAGGATGCCACAGGTCTAGCCCTGTTGTCAGGAGTATCCGAGGCTAGCATTTAATCCTGTAATATTAGGTGTGGGGGTTCAATTACAAAAATGAGGAGACCCATTCACTCAAGTTGTAACTCTGTGTTTTGGAAACAGGTTGTTGGAACCCTTACATTCTCATCTTAGCTTGCCGATGCCAAGAATGGACAGTAGCAGTTCTTCTACGGAACTTCTGAGAGATCATGGTGAGTTTCACTAGGTTAATGCTGGGAGCAGTAGTGGTTTTCATGATGTAAATCAAAGAGTTAGTATTGAGCAAAGTCATTTGCTTATTATTTCATTTTAAAAACTACATAGAAATATAAAAGAATTTCTTTTACTTTATTTAAACTTGAGAAGTTGGATCTCCTTAAAATGTGTGTAAATATAGAATGTTTTGGGAAATTATGAAGATGAATTCTTAGAATTTAAAGGGGGTTTTCAGTAGTAATTCTCCCAAGTTACTTATTTAAAATATATAAAAATTTCTTCAAGAGAAGCTACATATGTATTTTAAAGTCCCTTGAATATAATCAGAGAGTTTAGAATTTAGAGACTATCTTGAAGACCTAGGGAGGCTATTGACTTAAGGAAACTATGTTGTAGTTTTCCTTTTTTTATAATTTGTTACTCATATTCTTAACCTTCAGGCTGTTATTTTTTTTTCTTCTGCATGTACAAAGAGTATCTAGACAAAGGCTCAGCCATTATCTGTTTAGTGCTGCACAAAAGATAGAAGAAGACAATTCTAAAATGTTTGTTGAGGGAATCCTAACCACAGATTCTTGTGACATTGAATGGAAAGGAGCAGAACTGCAGCCCAAGTAATACTTTCAAGACTTGTTAAAAATTGCTCCAATGCAAAAATATTCAGATGCCTAAATACCCAAAGTAACCACAGCTTCATGACAGCAAAAGACTCTCTGTCCCTTCCACAGCCCTGCCATGTAATAGGTCTTAATACTGGTTGAATGATTGGATGGATGATGGATACAAATGAAAAGGAGAGAGCACCCAAATGAAGCAGTTGCCAAAGTATATCTGTGTGTCACTTCTTCACTCTAGAGAGTGGGTAGTAAGACACAGGACAGTTGTTTAAGTGCCCAAAGAAAAAACAATTTGGGGGAATAAAACACTTGAACTACTTTTAAATGTTTTTTTTTTAATGTAATAACTGTTAGTGGACTGAAGTGATGGTGTCATTAAGTCAACTAAAATGTGTTGCAGTTTTATGCCTTTCAACTAAACTCTCAGCAGACTATCAGTGTTATCCCAGAGGTCTCTCAACACTCATCTCACAGCATTCAGAGTCAGAAAGCTGCATGTTCTGAAAGCATTAAAAATTGGAACAAATCCATAATTTCTGAATGTTAAAGGCTTTCTTTTCCTTCCTCCTTTAAAATGAAATGTATCTCCAATATAAGCAGATATGTAGCCAATGTTTTATCTTGTCAAGTTTTGTTGAATTTTGTTTTGTTTTTAGCTAAACTATTATTTTTTAATTGAAATAAAAACAACAAACAGCTAAAACAGAAATGTCTAAAGGTTTGAGACCAGCAATTCATTTTATAAAATAAAATGTGAAAAATGTTTTTTTGTTCTAAAATAACTTACATATACTCATAGCACTACATCTTTGTTGAAAACTAAATATTTTAAAAATGGCACTTAAGTTCATTTTAATGATGTTTTCTAAAAATCTCTCTGACACAGGAGTCTACTGCATTGGTATTATATGTTTATTTGCTGAGGTAGGTCTCCAGTTATCCCAGGGAGCATTTACTGAAGTCAATTAAATAACAATGTTACTTAAGCAGTCAAAGAATACAGATGTGTTTCCTTTCGAAGGCACAGCCATTTTTATAATCTTAAACATTTCTGAAATACTAATAAATCATCATTTTCATTGTAGGAAAAAGGAAAGGAAAGAAAACTAGAGTAATGAATCAAGACCAATCCTGATTTCTATTCATTTGATTGAATTTTTTCTATAAGATTTTTTCCATTTCCTTTTTTTATTTAGAAACAGTCATTTTACATATCAATCCCTCCCGTCCGTTCCCTCTCCCTTGCATCATCCCTTGCCCTCTACCAACCCCCAACCTACCCCCCCAGGCTCCCCAAGGATTGTGAGGGCTTCCATGGGGGATCAGAAAAGTCTGTCACATTTGGGGAGGGCCTAGGCCCTCCTCCATGTACTTTTGATTGAAATTTAAATGGATGATCTAGGGAGTTATCATGCCTTATAGTCTCACTTTTTAAATTGGTGTAACAGAGCACTTGGTAGTGATGATATTGGAATTCTGTTTCTTCTAGCTTCTAAGTGGAAGAAGCTTTACCAGAATTACTGAATTACTTAGTTACTGTTTCTTCATGGGAGATGCATGGAGGCTAATAATAACACCAACTGAGAGTGCTCAGTGCATGCTTGCCAGGTTTGTGACACAATCTGATGTTCACCAAAACTGAGTTGCAGTTACTAGTAACAGTTTCAAATGAACGAACTCAAAGGCATGATAGGAGCAAATATCTGGTTTGCAAAGAACTGTCTCAGCAGCTATCCAACAAGAGGAGCCATGTTAGAGTGTCACCTTCACCGTGTGAACACTGTGGCCCTGAGACACCTGTTTCTGCTGTTGTCATGGTAGTCATCTTGCCCTTTTGCCTTCCCACTTCAGTACATTTGAAAAGTCACTTCTAATTTGATATTCCAACAAAACCCTTTCACCAGTGATTTCAAAACTCTTTCTTTCCTTTCTAACTCAAATAGATTGGAACCAAGGCATAAACCCCGATTTAGAAAAGTGTTCTTTAAATAAAAAGAAAGTTAAAAAAATAGAAAGGTATTCTTAACAGACAGTTTCAAAAGAAACTCTGGAAGGAGGGAGTTGAGTCAAAGACACCCATATTACCCTAAATAACAAATTCTGTGGCTTGATGAAGATCCCTTCAGCTCTGTGGGCTTTAATTTTCTTATGTGTTGTCTTCAAGGAAAGGATGAAGTTGCTATTTAGGAAAGGAGTAGATGGTTAGACAGTGTCCTTTATCTGTGGCTGGTTCTTAGTTTATCTACACTGTTAGCAGTAGGGCACTGATTTTCCCCAAGTTCATAGCCTTGAGACCCTCAGGGAAAATACATGAGTACCCCCTACAACTCTGATACAGCCTCTACCAGATGTGGGCTTTTGTAGTATCTGGTGAATGCCAAAGCCTACTGTCAGAAACTCTGTGTCTTGTGTACCTCACCACCACCTCCCCTACTCTGGAATCTGTTCATCATGCTGCCAGAAATCATATTAAATGACAAAAAATAACCTTTTACCTTACTAAAGTGTTCCCTACACATTTTAGGACTACCTGCAGAGTGTCTTGAGAACATTTATTCTGCAGCTCACTGACATGGTGCTATTTCTCTCTCATCCTTAATACATACATGTAGGGTTAGAGATGGAAGAGTGTCCTCCTTGGTCCTCATCACTGTTGCCTCCAGACCATTTCCCCCGCTTTTCTAAAATTCTCAGCTTTGACTCTCATGTCATCCAATCACATTCTCCATTAGCTTGTTTCTTGCAATAGTTATTGGTTTGTGCCATCTTCTTGTAGTCAGTCCCAGGACCCTTGTTAGTCTCTAATGCTTGTCATCATTTGTAGCTGTTTTACTATCTAGATAAATAAAATCTTTAATTCATTAGCATCTCAATTCTTTTAGTGCTTTTCCTCTAGTGATTTTGCTTTTCATCCATCATATATGTTCTTTCATGTTATTGTATAGGGAGCTAGACAGCACGTCCAATATTATACTTTGAAGAGTGCTACTGATAATGCATGGCATTTTATAAAGTCCAACAACCTTTAAAAATTAGTTCCATGAGGGGTTTTGGGACTTAAAAGATCAAGCTTTTAATTTCTTCTCTTCCCGTACTAACTTCACCAGTAATTTTATCCAGCTCATGATTTCATGCTCCAGCATATTTATATGGCCCCCAGACTCCAGCATACATATTTTGTAAATCAGTTGTACCATTTATTATATATTGTAACTCAATTAGGAGATATAATATAATTTATTAGAATGATTTTACACACATGGAGCTCAAATATTCTCTTTCTGAATTAAAATACTATTGCAAAGAATATAGCTTTCATGGTTTTTTGTTTGTTTCTTTTTCTGAAAAGGTGGACACTAACCAAGGACTAAAAATCCTGGCTAAATATTAAAAGATAATTTAAAAAATTTGATTTGTTTATCAGGAAAATGCAAAAATAAGTTCACAAACACAAGAAAACCAGATTCCATAGGGGCCTTATGTTCTTTAGAGGTGATTGTTTTCATGACTCATGCTTCTTCCTGTTTTCCTAGAATTTCTGCTTACAAACTATGCCCAACCACACCCTTCCCATTCTCTCTCTCTCTTTAATTCTATCTCAGCCCACCCATATATTTTTGTAAGTGCATATGTGTGATGTTCTCTAGATATAAATATATATATATGGAATGATTGTCTTATCAATATGATGGTGTAGTTGTCCCGACCCTTGGGACAGCAACCTAGAGCAAGAAGTCCAGGGAGGGGAATGGGGACAAGAGATACAAGACAATGACCACAAGACAGGATTCTGATCAAGTGACGAATTTTATTTTTTCCAGGATAGGTTATTTAGTCAGTAGTATGGGGTAAAGGGGAGGGGGAGAAGAAGCTAAGGGCCAGGTGTTAGTTTAAGCAGGATGTTAGAAAGCTATAGAAAGAGGATGTTGGCAGGGTAAAAAGTTCAAGGGTGGTGGGGAGAGGGAGTGTTACCTAGGTAAGTGGTGGCAAGGAAGGTTGCTTAGGTAAGTGGGCTTGTGGTTGGAATAAAGGATTGATGTCTGGGTCATGTTGTTCCTTCTGGGTGTTCATGCTTCTAGAAGACATTTATAATGAAAAGACAGTTCTATAACCCTGTGGCTTGCCAAGTTTGGCCTAAAGGTTCATGCCAAGCTGTATGGCTCTCAACATGATGGAATCTTCTTCCAATGAGATGAATGACATTTTTGTTAGGACAGTCAATAAAGAATACCTCATTATGTTGGCAGCAAAGATAATTTCAAATAGTCAAAGCTGTTTCATTATATTATGTTTATATTGCATTCAGATAAGTAACAATTTGCATATTTTATTTTTATAATACATATATACAGCCTTATTAAGAACATTCAGAGCAAAACATTTTCCCATTAACGCTCTGCTTTCTCACAACCATGATTCCCAGCTTGTTTTATTTCAAGATTTTGATTCTTCATCTTTTAAAAACCTACAGCAACACAAATTCAAGTGTTTCCTATAGTTAAGTCACTATTATTTAATTAATCACACAAAACATCCGTTTCCTTTTCTCCCAATGCTATTTACATTATCCCCCACCTACCCATACATGCTGAAAGGCATCTCTCATTTACCCCTTCTGCACACCTGTCTGGAGTGGTCAATATCATTCTTTAACCTGACTTTCCTGTAGGATATAAAGACAACAAAGACAAGGGAGGGTGTCAGGGATTTTCTACTCATTTTAGAAGTATAAAATAGATAACAACAATTCTTGATAGATTTAATTTTATACTGGGGTCTGCTACATAACCACAAGTGGATTGAGAGACACATGAAGCTTATCTAAATACATTCAGTCATTGCTATAGCCCTGTTAATTATATGAGCTCTCATCTCCACAGTTTTAATGTAACCATCAAATGTCTTCTTATTTTTACTCATTGGTATAATTTGAATTATTACCATACCCCACTATGTCTGACAAAAATGAAATCTACTATATTTTAAATGTTTTGTTATACTTTGCTATAATGATTTCTCAAAATATTAGTGAAAGGGTAGATGTTTATAACACAATAAATTTATTTTAATACAATAATAGTGTAATTTGTCAGATTTTTTTATATATACATGTGCATATATAAACAGTTTGATTCTCATATTTTATGCATGCTAAATCCTAACTTTTCCAATGTTTCTTCTGAGGAACTAAGAATATTAATCTTGTAACCAGCCTAAGCCATGTACGTCAGCCTATGTTTAGTATGTGTGAATGTGTGTATGTATATGTGATGCTGTAGATTAAATTCCCAAGGCCGCACACATGCTGAATGTCTACTTTACTTCTGAAGTACACCTCAACCCTAAGCATCATACTTCTGATTCCAATTTCCATATTAATTCCAGTTTACTATACAAATGTACATACATTCATATTATCTGATATGTATTTATGGCAGCTATACATTTGATTATTATACAATCGATATATAGTAAAGCAAACTGTGATTCAGAATAGGAGGGGGCTGTAAGCTGAGTGTTTTGTAGAGCATACAACATCATGAACTAATAGGTAATATACATATGCCTGGGTTTTTGACAGTTTGGGGCTTTGTACTATTAAATATTATATTTCACATTCCTTTGCATAATTTTTACAGTGAACTTTTTCAGTCAGTGCCACAAATATCAGTATGGTTATTGTGTGTTATACAGCTTTGCAATGTGTTGTTCTTTCAATATGTAATAATTTAATATGAAAAATGCTTTTCTGGTATGATCTCCCATGGTTCTCCTTAATAAGAACTTCATAAAAGTAAGAGTTTATTATCTGAAAAGAGATCCTGCCTCCTCCTCACCAAGAAAATGTAAGAAAATATTCCTACTATGCCAAATTCTGAACAATCAAACATATTCTTGCGGGGAGGGAAGCATTCTGTGATATAAAGGGCTCAGCAAGTCTTTCAGAGATGTGTGAGATGTAATGGAGATAGTTTTCAGACCATTACAATAATAGCCATGTCTTCATCAAGTGTGCTCTCTCCTCATTTTATACCTGCCACAGAAAGGAGAACCAATAGAGCTCAGTCAATTGCACATAGTCTAATTTCTGAAATTTCAAGGGAGACAGTACTTAGTCAATAATTATTAATGGCATTAAGAGATGCTGATTATTTTATCTAAAATAATTTTAGATAAAATATTTTAAAATTGTAGGTAAAGAACTCATTAATACATCCCATGGCAACACCAAGAGAAAGCCCCCTTAGACCCTTGTTGTATAATAAAAGTAACATTCAAAAAAGTTATAATGTAATAAACTCTAGCATATTAAAAAGTAAAGAGGAGGCAAAATAAAATTTAAGCACATTTTATTTAATATGACCAGGTATATCATTCCTGTATATAATCAGCCTGAAAAGTCAAGAGTAATATATTTTGTATACCTTTTTCTCATCAAGCTTTTGAAATCTTTGAATAGGGAAGCTTACCACACATATCAATTTTGGATACCCTTCATGTGTTCATAAAAATCCATGGCTTGTAGTTTTTGAGCACAACTTTTGACTGTGTGCTCCCAAGGACCTTGAGCACTTATTTCTGTATTAATGACACTTGGCATCTAGCAAATATACAACAGATATGTAAAAAAAATGAAGCAAATGAGGACAAAGTAAGGTCCAAGAACATTGGAATGAAACTGAACACACACCTGATAAGAGATAAAATGCCTACGTACTTCATGTCTATCCTATTGTCTATCTGAACTCATATGTTAGGTAACTTCATGTATTTTTATTATTTTATTAGGTTTTATAAATTTTATAAATACCAAATGTAGTATTTTTTTCAGTTACAATTTAGCAGAAAGAAACTAGAGTCAAAGAGTGGGAGGTTCTTGGCATCAAGATTATAGCCAAGGACAATTATGTTAAATTGCTTAGCATGAGGTGGAATTAATTGCCCATGATCTTAAGCATAAATACTTAATTTATAAAACAGCCTCTAAACATGCAGGTCCACATTTAGATACATGAACATTTTGGTGAGTAAGTGGCAGTCATATATCTAATCTGAGAACTTAATACCCCCATCACTTCAGGTCTCCTTAGCACCCCTCTGCTCAGGCCATTGGGTATATAGTCTGCTCTTCTTGTCCTACAGTCACATTCACACATACACAGTACACTAAGCATGCAAAAATGTGA